ACAACCATAATATAACTGCAGAGTGACTCCATCGCTTTAAAATAAGAGGGTGACGTAATAGGCAAGAGTGTGATAACGACTCGGACCGACTCTTAGACAAATGCAAAACCTTCTACTACTTCGTCTATGGGTTATCTTGGCTACGACCAGGGTCCGCTTTGCTGCTCATTTCCTAGGAAAGGACAACACTCTTCACAGACCAGCCTTAAATAGTAATATGATGCGAAACTTTTAACTGTGAGAGATTATTTTTAACCGACTTCAAAAAAGGAGGAGATTCTCAATTCGACTGCATATTTTTTATTATGTTCGGGCAAAACCTCTTCTTTTATTAATTAGGTTATACTTCAGGGGTGGTTTCAAATAAACTAATAGGAAGAAAATAATTTCAACATAATTGATACTGACGGCGAGGTTATAAAGCATCTACTATACACACTATGCCTTCGCATCGGCTTCAGAAGCTATTAAGTAGAAATTATATTATTCTTATTATGTTTTTGAAGTCGGGTTTTACTCTTGATAGATAATTTTTTTCTGGTACCGAGGCATTATGGATAAAAATAAGAAAGTCCGTCATTGGTAGGATAAAAAATACAAACACGTAATAAAATGTGTGTAAAAATGTTATAACGCTATAAAATATAATATGTTGAACTATACTTATACTATAAGAAAATGTGTGGTAGAGCACGCTGCAGCTATATTATGGTTGTAGCACGAATGGGTCAGCTCGACCGGGGAAGGACCACGCTCTCACAGTATACCAGCGTAAAACAGCGGCTTGATGCTGCTGTGTTTCGTATGCTGAGTTTAGAGAACCGGAGACCCGTTTTACTCGAATCGAGGCATTCCATCTTATTACTTAGGGGTGACAACAAATCCGAATTTTGATTCTTCATCGAGATTAAAGGTCATCTACCTTTAATCTCGATGAACTGATGTCTGTGGGCCACAGCATCCTTAACATCAGGTGGACTGTGTGCTCGTTTGTCACCCTAATTCAAAAAAAAAATACTTACAGTATATGGATACTGAAATCTAGTTAGTGTTAGTGCGAAATGTGTTGAGATTCAAAATATATCTGATGTTGAATTTCAACACATTTGGCATTTGATGAGCAGATTTGCAAATGCCACTGCCCACGTAACTAAAATTACGACAGACGGGAATAACCGACACAACATTTTCAGTGTTTATTTTATTTTCTTACGGCTGATCAAATTAAATATTACTTAATACCTATATGAAATATGTATTATAAAGCTTCGAATTTCCCAAATGATGACTGAAGACTGCTTAAGGGTTGGCGAACGTGATAATAAATTACTTTATACCTATATGAAATATGTATTATAAAGCTTCGAAGTTCGCAAATGATGACTGAAGACTGCTTGCGGGTTGGCGAACGTGATAATAAATTACTTTATATCTATATGAAATATGTATTATAAAGCTTCGAAGTTCGCAAATGATGACTGAAGACTGCTTACGGGTTGGCGAACGTGATAATAAATTACCTTATACCTATATGAAATATGTATTATAAAGCTTCGAAGTTCGCAAATGATGACTGAAGACTGCTTGCGGGTTGGCGAACTTGATAATAAATTACTTTATACCTATATGAAATATGTATTATAAAGCTTCGAAGTTCGCAAAAGATGACTGAAGACTGCTTGCGGGTTGGCGAACGTGATAATAAATTACTTTATACCTATATGAAATATGTATTATAAAGCTTCGAAGTTCGCAAATGATGACTGAAGACTGCTTGCGGGTTGGCGAACTTGATAATAATGAGGCTGTGTAGTAGCAACATAAGATGATCCGTCACATTTCGCTCCAGTGGGTGTTGTAAGCGGAAATAATGTGAAACGCCAGAGATCTCATTACTTCCGGTGGATTGCGGAATTAACATCTCTTTATGTTATGACGCGTGTAATATCTAGAACGATGATGAGGATCAGCATCAGCGTCGCGTACCAAGCGTGACGAATAAGGCAAATCCACCCGAGAGGAAGAGGCGTCTATCCAGTGGACATTTACGAGCCGTACGAACGTGTTAAAAAAAATAAAGTTAAAAACCCTATATTTCTACACAATGTAAATCTTTTGTCACTCAATCGAAAACAGACACCCAATTCGAAGAAGTCAAATGAACTATCGGATTACCGAAATTTTTTTTGAGCTAATTAATATTTTTGTCGTTTACGTTGTGTGTCCAAACTGCGTCCAAGTCCAAGCGTCCAAACCAATGTGTTTTGAAATTAGAGTACACAACTGTAGAATATATAAGTTTTCATTTCGCGCAATAGAATCGTAAACGTTCGCTTTTTTTCATTTCAATATAATATTAAATTACTTGTACTTCCTTACGCTGAAGGTAGCCCAGGCCATCGGGACGTCAAACACCTTAGTCCTCTCGTGACTGGCACCCAAAACATCGGGAATTAAAAATAAGTTAAATTAAAAACGTGACACAGATTAAGAATCAAAATGTAGATGCGTCGTTACCCGTGAGAACTAAGATGGAATGCCTAGTTTCCAGTAAAAAAGGGTCTCCGGTTCTCTACACTCACCGTATGAAACAGCCTTTAGCTCCTAATTTACGCTGTTATTCTCAGCGTGCTCCTAACCTGGTTGAGTCGACCCTTTCGTGCTACAACTAAAATGTAGCTTCAGCTGGGCTCTACCACGTAATAGTTAAATGTTTTTTTTAAATTTATAGCTCATAGACAAACCATAAAATTTGGATTCATTGGGCAGGTACTAGGTTTGTCACTCGAATTTTACAAAAATAAACAATATACTTTTTTGCCAAATTTCGATAATACTTACTACAATATAATAAAAATGAGTAGACCCATAGAGGACTAAAGAATAATAATTTAAGCTTTTGTGAAAACACAGATAAACAAACACATCACACCTGCTGGTCTGTACATGATCACTGTGATAACCATAGATATGGATGAATCAAGATTAGTGGAGTTGCTATCACTGAATATAACTTAGATAGACTATCTCTTTGTCAAATATCAGATTTTTGCACTGAATAAAAATATTGTTTCAAGGTTTCTCGTTTTTCAGAATACTCGTACAAAACTGGGTAGAGTTATGCAGCGAATGTGCAACATATCACTTTGATAACGTCATGTTGTGTATATATACTATATGTATATACGCTAAAAATAGTTTTTTAATTTTATGCTAATCATTCTGACCATGCTAGGATAAAGTTATTAAATTATTGTATTGTCATCGATCCTTGATACAAGTGCAAATTTTTAATCCAATCAGCTGTGTAAAAGTCTGTGAAAATTATATTAAAATATCCATTAATATGTACATAGATAGATGCACGCAAAGTTTATAAAAGCGTGTAAATTAGTATTAAATTGATATGTTACACATTTGTGTCATAACTCTATCCAGTTTTTTATTCTGAAAAACGAGAAAACCTGGAACGACATATTTGTTCAGTGCAAAAATATGCTTTCACTGACATAACTCTCCAATAGTGAGAAAAATTGTCTTGTGGTTTGGTGATCGAAGTCGGTACCAGCGGTGTTGCATTTTTAACGCTCTACCTCGTTTGGATCACATTTATTGTACACAAGAACAAGATAGTAGTACACATGCATACTCTAATGATAATAATAATATTATTAATCACTCCACACTGACACTACATTAGCCTACATTGCACCCGTACTTGAAGCCGAAGCGTGTTGCTAGATTTTATGGTATATAAAGATTTTAATTAAAGATTTCCATTTACAAACCTACAATTATTTCTTGAATGCTCTTTAAGATTTAATTTCCATAATCAACATAGCCTAGCAATTAAAACTTGTTTATGTCACAATAATTTAGAAACAATTAATTATTAATCTTTAAGTGCGGAACAATTTACTAGCACTAATCTTTTTTTTTAAAATAAAATGGACCCCTGCAATAAACTTTCAAATGAGGAAGATATTTTTTTAAATAAAATGGATACCTGCAATAAACTTTCAAATGAGGAAGACTACAGATATGTTGTCACTTCTAAGGACTAAGAATAGAATAGAATAGAATAAAAATAAAAAAGTTTGCAACTTACTAGAAAATTTTTTATTCTATGTAAGTTGCAAGAATACTTATTGAAAGTCCTTTTTAACTTTTACCACTGGTTTGGGAAAAACCTCTGTCCTGGGAAGAACCAGCAAGTAACCCAGCGAGACTTTTATACAATTGGTATGTTATATAAGATAAAAATTCCCTACTGTCTAGAACATGCATTGCTGCTTTACAGCATAAATGGGCAAGGGGGTGGGGTACCTATCTAGACAAGAAGTTCAGGGAAGGGGAAGGACTCCTACCAACTAATCTATATATCTATATTTTATAAGTTTAAAATTATATAAATACATTTATGCCACAAAACAACTGAAGGATACAGAGCCAGTGTAATTACAGGCATTTTATATTAGTCCTTACTGGTGGTCCAAGAATTGCAGTAGTCATTTACCATCAGGTGTACTGTGAGTTTGTATGTCTCTTCACTTTTATAGTAATTAAATACACAAGCATAATAGTTTATAGGTATTAAATGCCTAATGACATGGTATAGGCCATTACAGAAATCGAACTTTATGTTTGAGGTGTAATATAGTGGTATATGTGGTACATTAAAGATGAAAAATAATTGTACATAGTGTGGATAGTGTGCAACTATTTTTTTTAATAAAATTTTTGCCTTTTAATCCTAACTTTAGTATTGATGTGAGGTTCAATACAGTTAAAGTAAATAATAAATAAATAAACTATTTGTCATCTTTAATATACCATATTTAGAGAATAAATGTTATTGATTTATTTATTGTTCATTTAATCCAACATTTAACTACTATTGTGAAATATACTTCTAACACAAACTTATAAATATGTTGTTTATCAGAAATACACTTAATGTTAATGGAATTGTTTGTAAGTATTCGTTTTTAAAAACCAACCTGACTGCAACTCGTACACTGGACTCATCTCCAGCCATATCTGCAGTTACATTCCTAAAACAAAATAGATTTTCTTATATTATATACACAGACAGAGAAAAGGACTTGGGTAGTGTCATTTGACATAGTTTTTAATAAAAATTCCAGCAACTACAAACTTTAAATGTACATGTACAATGTACATGTGTATTGTTCATGTCATGATACTTTTATGACTTATTAAGATTTTGCTCAAATATTCCTTTAATAATTATAAATAAAATTCTTCTGTCCGTGTGTATGTGCCCGAACTCCTAAACAGAATTGGTGAAATTTTGTGTGTGATTAAGCTGACTCGAGAATGGTGTGAGATTCACAATTATACAAAGTAGGTGGTGCTGTTGTCGAAATCTAGACATCGTCCATACAAAGCTGGAACTGATTGATACTATTAAGATACAATATTCAGATTCATTGAAACAAAATAGCCCAGGAAAAACAAATCAATGTGATAGAAATTCTTAAAAGCAGTATAAAATTACTATTAATGACATAAAAAAAATGTAATGACAAATAAAAAATAAAAATTGTTAAGTTGCATGGAAATGTATTTCCAAGTTTTAAACACAACCAGCTGTTTTCCATTATGTAAGGAAATAAGTTCTATTATATAGTCGGTTAAGACAATCATCATAATCATCATCAGCATCATAACATCAGTCCGCTGCTGAACATAGGCCTCCCCCAAGGAATGCCACAAAGCATGTCTTACCAGGTCGTCACTCCATCTAGTGGGAGGCCGTCCCACACTTGGCCTATATATCATTCCTTCTATCACTGATTTTACATAGATATTCATCTACTATTTAAAAACCTTATTTAAAGTACTTTTTGTATAAGCCCAAAGGTGAGCTAATGTCGCAATGATAAAAAAATGTTTCTAAATAATCTTAAGTATTTGCTATATACGATAACGCGATTATTTTTATTCGGCATGGGATGATAAACACAGAAACGTAAAATGTAGTGTATTTATAATAACATTACGAACCGCGAGTCAATTTATATTTTTGAAATTATTCCAATAATTGTTAATAATTGTTGCATACTCGGTAATACTTACAGTAATTGATTGTATCCTCAATATTTGATAACTTTGAACATAATTTCTTTTATATCTGCATCGAAAGGCTTTTTAGATTTCTGTCCATCTTTCACTGCGTATTGTAACACAATTAAAGAAATAGAAAATACAATATTTTATATTGAGGAGATTTTAAATATTTCGAGCTATAATTTAAGTATTCTTCGTCATAACCGAACACAATTATCAATCGGCGTTATTTTATACTATCGCGATAATAAACAATCCGATTTTGAATACAAAACGCCGCAACATCGACAATCGTTCACCTGCACTCGCACGAACTGACACTGACAGAAATTTTGAAGTGAACGAACAACGAACCCAAAACGAACCTGCCATAGAGCACAGAAGAATAATTACACAGAATTCGATAACAAACCGCGTAGACAGAGAAAAACCGCTTCCTGTCTACCATGATGGTTAGAGAACAGGAGAACGATCACTACGTACTAAAGCATAGCCCGCCTGTCCTTGAAAATTGTAGAATACATAGCGGCGCTGACGTTGGGAGTAGTGACTGCAAAGTTAGCTGTTTATAAGTACAAGTAGGTGAAGTTAGTTGAATAATGTACAAATTTTCATTTCATTTTTTCGTAGAAAATTTTCACGCTCCGTAATTTTCTAATTTTTGACAAAAAGAAACATAAAAAATGGAGGAGTATTAAAATACTCTTCCATTTTTTATGTTTCTTTTAACACAATTATTTATTAATTACACAATAAATTGTGCGTGGATGTGCAAGTGGTTGATTATCTGATCGGAAAAATAGACTAAAAATGACTTTTGTTGACTGCACTTAGTGATCGCAGCGCCTCACTGATGGTGTCCATATTCCTGGGACACTATTTTCTACGGCGATCGTTCTCCTGTTCTCTAACCTTCATGCTGTCTACGTAACAAACCATGGAGGTTAGAGAACAAGAGAACGATCGCTGTAGAAAATAGTGTTCCAGAAATATGGACATAATAAGTGAGGCGCTACGATCGCTAAGCTCTCTCAATAAAAGCGGGCTGTTATCAAATATCATTAAAAAAACGAAATTATTATTATTTATTAACAAGTAAATTATAAATAATGTTTTTTATAATTTTAATTATTATAAATTATTACAAATATAAATTATTAATTATTGCCGATTTAATATTTATAATGTCATTCAAAGAAAAAAAGAAAATAACGAATTTATTATTATTTAATACTAAATAAATTATAAATTACGTTTTAATAATTTTAATTATTTTAAATATTATAAATTATTGCAAATATAAATTATTAACTATTATTGATTTATTATTATTATTTTATAATATTTCACCATTTTTTAATGTTTCTTTTTGTCAATAATTAAAAAAATATTTTGCAGATACTACTTACCGACGGCAGCACGACTTTAAATTGTACAAATTTTCAGGGACAGGCGGGCTATGCTTTAGCACGTAGCGATCGTTTTCCTGTTCTCTAACTTCCATGTCATTGAGTATAGAGGTAAGGAGGACAATATCAGGAAATCATATAGGAGAATAGTTGAAAATGTGTCCATCCGAAAGCAGTAAAAACAGTGTGAAAACTCTCCACTACAGCGCTCGAGTAGCTACGGGGTATGTTAAGTCGCCGTAAAATACGTTGAGAGTGATTAAGAAAATAAAAATTTTGAAAGCAATAAAATAATTATTGTAATAAGAAATATGGTAAAAGTCTGTGCAGTAAAGAAATTATAAAAAGTTCTTTAAAATTTTGACAGTAGCTACAGTGGCGCTACCCTTATTTAGCGCTTTCCTACGGACACTTTTTAATACAGAGTATATACTCCTTACCTCTACAATCCATACTCCATGTAACAAACACTGTGGACAAAGAGTATATAATCATTTTAAACAAGTACTATTAATATATCTACTCTGTGATATTATGTTCTGATTGCCAATAGTTATGAAATTGTTAAAATAGCAGGGTAATGAATGAGTATGTATAATATAATATATCGTGTTCGAATTAATTAATTTATTTTATTAGAAGTAACGACGCTACCTGTACTATTTTATATTGCAGCACACTACTCAATAGATGGCACTGCAATCGCTGATAAAATACTTATCTAAAATTTTACAGCCGCTACTTTCGTAATAGTTTCAAGTGATTTCAATAGATGGCGTGGTATAATTTATCACAACGTATTATAGTTTTGACAAAATTATTATATTTCACATTTTCTCACAAACTCTATATATAGTTATAATCAACAACGTCCACGATAGCATTTGTAGATTTTTGTAAGTAATTGTTAATAATATATAGTTTCATTATAGCAGTTTCACTACAACGCCCTATTTTTTACTTTCCGTGCAATTTTACTCATATCTAGGGACTAATGCTTGTGTCAGGATCAACGGGGTCTACTCGGACTGGTTTGGCGTCCAAAGCTTCCCCGTGGCTGTTAGACCTATTTATGGACAGTTGTTTGGAAACGTTGAAAGGTGAAGAACGTGAATTAAGAATGGGTGAGTTAACCGTCAAATGCCTTTTGTACACCGATGATCAAGTCATTTTCGCGTCGTCGGAAGCCGTGTTGCAAATGATCTACATTAATTAATTGGTTATTAAGGGGAATGAAAGTGAACACAAGAAGACGAAAGTGATGGTTTTTGAAAGAAACGCTATGTGAAAAAAGAATAAAAGGGGAGTTGATAGAGCAAGTGGATGAGTTCGTGTATTTGGGATGTGTATTTAGCAGGGATGGTAGATATGTTATTTTATTTATTTAACTGGTTTTACGGCTCTGGGTTCTAGTCCTTCTGAGCCTATCATTTCTTTCAGTATCTTAATTTTATATATTTTTTCTTCACAACATGCTGATGCGTCACATTGCGAAGTTTTTGGGAGATTTTGACGACAGCTCAACCCAGTAGACTGTTGATGACGACAGCCACCCAAGTTCGTAAGGCGCCCAAGCGATCAAATTAATTTGAGGTTTACATCAACATCAAAGCACTTGTTTCGTCGTTTTCTCTAATAGTTCACACGCGCGGACACTTAGGGCGGTACCCTGACCAAAACCTTGCAAAAGTGCGTTTTTCAGAGACTATAATCTCATTAGTTATGAGAAATAAGCTACATCTAAAAGCACATTATTAATGTTCGATATCCTATCATCACATTCCACGTTTCTAATTTGTTTTTATGTGTTATGAATACATTTAAAATCTACTTTTAAAAAATGACTAAAATTATTGATTACATGCATCTGTTGCTAAAGGCAACGCTCTAATCATTTGAGAATTACACTAATGGATAGATAATTTAAAAATCTATATTCTACACATTTTATTTAATTTCTTAAGTTCGCTTATCTTTTTTAATTGAAATAATTCCAAATATTCGGGCGTATTTTTACGCGATATAATGTAGCGAGAGCGCGTGGATTGTATAGGACCGAACGCTCAAGGTCTTTCGCTAGGGGAAACGTCTTAATTCACAAAATCACATCACTTTTGAATATTAAAATCCACTTCAAATCATTATTAAAGCGACAAAACAGGAGCGACATTCCGTCGACGGCCAAGTTCCCGCCAAAACCCGATGGTAGATATGATAAGGATATAGCACGACCAGTGAACGCAGGAAATGGAGTGAATGGGGCTCCACTCTACGCTCTATTATGAAACGTCATTCTGATGTTTCAGAAAACACACGTATCTCAATTCATAATGTTGTATTAGTTCCTATTTTAATGTATGGTAGTGAAAGTTAGATGTGGCAGAAGAAGCAAGAGAGAATAAATGCTGTAGAAATGCGATCATTAAGGAGTATGCTAGGGCTGGATCTGAATGACTGGGTGAGAAATTGTATGATTAGAGAAAAGTGTGGTTTGCAAGATGATGTTGTGACCAGGATTAAGAAAAGAATACTTTGGTGGTTTGGTCATGTAGAAATAATGAACGAGGAAAGAGTTTTAGAATTCGGAATTTTAGAAAACGGAATCCCGGAATGGAATTCCGTATATGTGTCGCCCGCCTTAAAACCACTGCATCATGGAGCCGTCAAAGTACGAAAATTTGTGATGCAAAAAGATCGATATAATCTAAGGAGCACCAGAGAATCAATCACTCTATTACGACTCGCGGGTATCGTTACATGTGATTGTAGGCAATGCCACAAAACTTATGGCTACTAATCATGTTCCGCGTGCATCATAGTCCGCGTAGAATTTATTATGACAGATAATTTTTTTGCGCGGAACCCTAATTATTTTTCTTAAATAGAAGTAGCCTAAGTGACTCCTTATAATATCAGCTATCTGCCAGTGAAAGTCCCGTCAAAATCTGTCAAGCAATTTTGGAGATTAGACGGAACAAACAGACAGATAGACATAAATAAAAAAAAAAATGTTGTGTATAAATTCATATGCATTTAGTAAAAAGCTGTTAATTTCATATTACAAACGGACACTTCATTATTTATTTATAAAGATGATTGATGGTACATCCACCTTGCTTACGCCAGTCTTAAAATTTCTAGACATGCGATGGGGAGCAATGTCAAAGCTGCGAGACATGTTCACTAATCTGCCTACCAACCATCGAGTGGTGCCGACAGTAGGAGAGGTCCATGTCCGACAGTAGACTTACGGGTTGATGATTTTTAAATATTGTTACGAGCTTGGGATTCGTGACACTAAAAACTGCCGATTGAATTACCAAAATTGACACTTTAGTTACTGGACACTAATTACAATTTAAAACACACTAATAATAAAACAATTACACTACTGATCACTTTAGTTCACAGTTGTATCGCTTCGAAGTATTCGCTTGTATAAAAAATTCAATACTGACTCAGCCGTGGTCTAAACGGCCTTATATAGAACCTCTTCCACTGAAACATCTAGAATGTTCGAGCACATACCGGTCCCGACCGACTAGGTGTAGAAAGTTCTAATATAGAATTTTCTAGAAAGATTAGTTCTGCTACTCGATACTAGGTAGCGCTAGTGCCATGTACCAGTAGTAGGAGACTCAGGTTTCTACCCATTTCAAATTGTGAACTATGAAAATGTCAATAAAGAATTATTATTATTATTATATATTATATTAATTATGGCGCGCAACAAAATAATATGGAAGGCAAACGAGCACACAGTCCATCTAATGGTAAGTATATGCTGTGGCCCATAGATATCTACATCTATCTTCGATTAATAATCTAAATGCAGATACGTTGTCACCCCTAAAGTGGAATGATTCTTTTCCGGTAAAAGGGTCTGTGGTTCTTCTCTACACCATCATACGGAACGCAGCAGCATTGAGCTGCTATTTCACGCTGATATTCTGTGAGAGCGTGGTTCTTCCCCGATACAGCCGCCGCATTCGTGCTTCAACTGTAAATGATTATGAAGAAGAAGAATTATAATGGCTTGTGAATAATTTGTATTGCTTACTAGCAATATACTGGCATCTTTTACGAACATGCATTTAAATTGGGTAGCTGAGGCCCATTTTTTCAATAAATATGTTAGAAATTAATGTATACCATATATATATATATATTATAACCAGTCGTACAGGGTTACGGTTAATACATTTAACTGTAAATGTACAATGTTACAGTTAAATGTATTAACCGTAACCCTGTACGACTGGTTTTAGTGCAGACCTCACTCATCATCATCATCATCATCATCATTACAGCCCTTCACAAGTCCACTGCTGAACATAGGCCTCCCCCAAGGTATGCCACAAAGCACGGTCCTGAGTCACCTGCATCCATCGACTTCCTGCATGTCTTACCAGGTCGTCACTCCATCTAGTGGGGGGTCGCACTTTGCCTACCGTCAGGGCTCGAACAGGTCCACTTCCTATGGGGCCGCTTTTGGAAGAAAGAGTTCATCATAAAGAGTCCCTCTTTCTCCATAAAGTCGGCGCTGCTGGCCCCTACAGTTCCGTTGCCCTACTCCAAATTTCCCTAACTTCAGCTCACCGCTTTCTCTTATTAGCCTAGTTTTGCGTTAAAGTCTCCCATCAACACCGTATAGTGGGTTTTGGAGGAATGCATGGCTCTAGAGATATCCTCATACATTTCCTGCACCTCCTCATCGGGATGTGCCGAGGTTGGTGCGTAAACCTGTATGACCTTCAGCGAATACCGTTTGGTGATTCTGAGTATCATGTACGCAACCCTCGTCGACACACTCTCAATCTTTACAACGTTGTTGACAAGAGACTTGTGAACGATAAATCCGACAACTCCTTGGGACAGATGGTCGCCTTCCCGGTGATAGAACAAGTTGCCGACTTGTACCGTCGTCCTCCCCTCTCTTCGGACCTCGGATAATCCTATAATATGCCAGCGCAACTTGTTTACCTCTTCTTCCAGCTCCAGTATCCTCTCGCCACTCCTCAGGGTGCGTGCGTTATACGTTGCCAGATCGAGTCGTCGTAGGTGGCAACCGAACCTCTACTGGAGATTTTTAGCACCCCCTGCCCCGCCGTTACCATGGTCGCCACCGTAGCAAGGAATAGCGGGGCCGCCGGGGACTGGGGGCTGTTTGTTCGTGTCGTTGCTCATGGGGGGGATGTTTGCCATAGTTGCCACGCTTGGCGAGCGGCCGCAGTTTTTTATTGTACAATTGCTGTTATCAGGAAAATGCTGCTGCCCATCTCCTGCCTGTTTCCCTCTGTCGCCTCTTACGATACCCACGGGAAGACATGGGGTAGTGGATATTCTCAACCACCACTACACGGCAACCTCACTCAGCTTAACATGATATTTTTAGTATTTTTGTACTATAACTATTCGTTATATTATTTAGTTTATTGTAATCATGTTATGGC